CATTACTCGCAGTACTGCTTATGGTACTTCCTAGGTGTGAGGCCGGCCATGCCCCCTGGGACCTGGTCACCCAGGCTGATGGGCCAAGGCCTGGGCAGTGGGACAAGGGGCAGTGACATCCCTGCCCTGGGTGCTTGGTGCAGGTGTATCCTGGGGAGTCAGGGAGCTGCTGGCGACCGGTGAGCTCCATTTCACCCCAGACTCACCCTGCTCGCCCTTGGGAAAACAGGAAGCGGTGAGGGCAGGTTGGGGCAGCCCCCGGGCTGCCGCCGGTCTCCCCTTTCTTCCCCAACTCACCCGCTTGCCCGAGGATGTGGGATCCGGCACATACAAAGCGCTGTGTGGGCTGGTGTTGGGCTCCGTTTTTGAGACCTTGCCTCCATCCCGGAGGAACTTGGACTTCACACACCCCATCCTGTGGTAGAGAGAAGGGAGATGAGCCCCGCTTGCTCTGAGCCCCACACGGGGGAGTCTTTGATGCTGGGCTCTAGACCCCGTGTTCCCAGGCTGGCACCCTGTCACCTTCCCTGTCTCCCCTCCCCCTCTCTGCCCCCCTCACCCCACCCTGGCCACGTGGAGCTCACTCTGCCCTTGTCATCTCTGGGCTTCCCCACACCACGTCTGGCCCGCACCCACACAGAGCTGACAAGCTGTCGTAGTCATGCTAACAAGGACCCCTGCGATGGGGAGTTTATTCAGAGAATAAATCGTGATGATCATTGAAATTCAACAGGCGGAGCCTCGGAGCAGAGTCGGGGTGGGGGGTGGTGGTGTGGGAGCTGCCAGCTCTGGGGTCAGAAAGCCTGAGCTGACGCTTGACCCCTCCCTCCCCAACTAGCAGCTCACTTACCATGCCCCTGCTCCCCAGTCTCAGTTCCTCAGCAGCAAAGTGGGGATAATAATACGACCTCCTCGCCGGGCGTTGGGAGGACGAGAAAGCACGTGGGTGGGGAAATACTCAATACAGAGTCAGGCTCAGAGCAAATGGTGAAGTAAAACTATACTCTCATTATATAACGTCAACAGTTTATATAAACTGATAAGGATCAGGTCACATAATGTGGCTCAAACAATCAAGGTCATCATATTCCTCATATCATTTTCTAGTTGCCTTCTAACAGCTTCCTTCCTTCTTCCCTCCCTCCCCCGACCCCTTTTTCTTTTTTCTTCCTTCCCTTCTTTCTCTCATGGATTTATTTGGTCATTCAACCATTCATTTACTCAGCAAACATTTACTGAGCACTCTTCTAAACCATGATTAAGACAAGCAAGTTCATGCCCTTACGGAGCTCACTCTGGAGGTGGATGGGAGACACAGACGATAAACAGGTAACAAATAAATAACAAGATAAATTCAGTTAGTGAAAAGTGTGAGGATGATAAAAGAGGATGTGATCAGGAACAGCTATGCGGGGCCTCTTTACACAGGGCAGTTGGGGAAGGCCTCTCTCAGGAGGTGATATTGGACCTGGGGCCTGACTGACACAAAGGAGCCAGTTACGTAACACTCTGAGGGAACAGTGTTCCAGGCAGAGGGAACAGCAAGTGCAAAGGAATGTGACTGAAGAGAATCAGGCACTGAAAGGAGGCCAGTGTGACTGGAGATCACAGGCAGCAGAGAGAGGATAGCATGTGACAAGGATGCCCCATGTTGTGAGGAGTTTGGATTTGATTCTAAGGATGATGGGAAACCATGGCAAGTTTCAAGCAGAAGGATGACGGGGTTCAGTGTGTACTTTAAATAATCCCACTGGCTGCCCGGTGGAGTATGGACTTTAGTGAGCAGGGCAGGGAGCCCTGTCCACTGCAGGAGTCCAGGCTTGAAATGCTGGTGGCCTGGCCCGGGGTGGTGGCTATTGAGGACGGGGTAAGAAGTGGACAGATTCGGGGGACATTTTGGAGGTAGAGCTGACAGACTTTGCTGGTGGATTAATCAAATTTAAAGACACTTAAAGAAAACACTTTTACCTGATCAGAGTCAAAACTTAATTGTTAAAGTGACAGAAACTTTTTCTTTCTTTTCTCAAAATGTGCACATGTATTTGCTGAGAAGATAGGCTGTGAGCAGCCACATAAGGAAGTAACTGTCTTCCTCATCTCTACACAATCACAATTTTCTTCTAAAGCAGTTAGAACTCAGTTATACTTATCTTGTTAAAATAAACATGTGTTTGTGGCTTAAGAAATAACCCCAAATTCCTAGGTTAACGAGAGGTTTTTTTTTTTTTAAGATTCTTTTTATTTACAAGGATGTTTTCTGTCTGTCCTGGTGGGAACTGGGAACAGTTTACCACATCAAGACTTGAGCGGTTTTTGCTTCATTCGCCTTTTGCGAATAAAGTAAGGAACTAATCCAGACTCCTGGAGTGCTAGATCATTATTTTGAAAAATTATTGCAATGAATCAGTGCTTTATAATGTACTTGTATGCATTGAAAACAAAAACCAATACCTCTCTGACTTGTGAAAAATATGGTTTACAATTGTGGGAAATAAAACAGCATATTGTGTGGTTCTGTATGACATAAAATTATATTACATTTCATATATTTTGATTAACTTAAGGGTGTTCTGGGAAGAGCATAGCTGTGTGAGGTACAGCCGCTCCCTCCACCTCTCTGAGTACCTATTTGGTATGCCTTACATCATCAAGTTACATATTCAGCGTGGCCACAGGGTCTTGAGGGATGGGTCTCCCCAGGCATGAACATGCATGATCCATGGATGGTGGAGTTCTACCTCCCGGGGTGGCTGCAATCACAGATGAGTTGAGAAGCGTAAAGGTGTCTGCCACACAATAACCGCGACAGAAATGTTAACCATAACCATTTCCGTTCCCTAGCAGATGTGGCACTGCCCTGGAGCATAAAGCAAGCACTGTTTGCAAGTCCTTTGGCCTGCAAGTGTAGAGATACCACAATACTCTAGAAGTTAACTTTTTAAAATAGGGAATTCCCGTTAGTTCAATTTTTGCACAATAAAGTTTTTTTTTTTTTCAGTGATGAACTGGCAGGAGTCAAATTTGCATAAAATGTGATTTCCCCCTAAGCCAAGAGAACCATTCTACTGCCTGGTCTGGAGTGGCCTCAGAAATGCTTATTTTCATGACCACTAGACCTAGCAATGTAACGTGAGCCACATATATAATTAAAAATTTTCTACAGCCATATTTTTTCAAGGTAAAAAGAAACAAGGGAATTAATTTTAAGATGTATTTATTTTTCCCAATATGTCAAAATTATTAACATGTAATCAATATAAAATTATCATTGAGATGCTTTATATATATATATTTTTTTCATGCCGAGTCTTCACATCCCAGGGTGTGTTTTACACATACAGCACATCTCAGCTAGGGCTTGCGGTGTTTCACGTGCTCAAGACCTGTCTGTGGCTCAAGCTACTATACTCAGCAGTGCAGACACAGAAAGTTTCCATCTCTGCAGCACAGCAGAGGCTGGTCTTGTTCATGTCTGTGTCCCTCAGCACTTAGCTCAGTGCCTCCCTGGCACACGGTAGGAGCATAATGCACCGTTAGTGAGTAAATACATGCCCAGAGCCCACACTTTATGTGGTCAGGCCAAAGTAAAAGCATCAGGACCTGGTTCCTGCTCCAGTTGGGATGGGAAGACTGGACATACAGAACTGCCTTCCCAAGAAGCTGTTAGGGATTGGCAAGGACAGTCAGAGCCATGCAAAGACTGCTAAAATACTTACTGAGTGAGAAAAGCAAACTGCAGAACATATACAATATCAAGCCATTTTGTAAAACGAATATATATCTGGGTTCTGCCACTAACATGTGTATGTTAGTTTGTTCATAGGAAAAACAACCTGTTCATAATAATTGAGCAGCAGGATAATGAGTTGGGTTTTGAAGAATGGGAAGGATTTCAATAAAGATTGGGGGAAACTCAAGAATGTTCCAAAGAAGCACTGACTTTCAAAAAGGATTTGAGGGAGCTTATAATATTAAACCATATACAGAGCACTTCAAGACTCAAAAAGGGTTATGCTACACCATTTAGAAAGGAAAGATTATTGAACCAGAAGCCTAGGGTGCTACTGCTACTGCCATTGAGTACTAGATTTATCTCTGAGTTTCCTAGCAGCCAAGATAAAAATGGCAATTTGTACATTGTTAACATAAAATCCCAGGAAGCATGGCAATTTACTGAGAGAAACAAATATTTTTTGAGCACTAAATTCAAAAGAGAATTTATTATGTGGATCATCCTATAAAGGTCACTGGAGAACACAATGAACACCGATTGGCAGCAAAGTCTGCTATATGTTGACAATAGTCCCCAAATACATGATGCTGATGTTTGGGTGGGTTTGGAAACCATGGGATGGGGGTGGGGAGAGGGCGAGGGAAGAGGTTTATATATCCCAGGGCTTCTCTGCAGAGTGGGGGCTGCACAGTTGCTTGAACTAAGTTAGAAATGTAACAGTGCCTGGCTACTCAGAGTGTGGCCAGCATGAAGACCAGCAGCATCTTCGTACGGGAGGCGTTAGAAATGCAATCTCAGGCCCCACCTCCCAAAGCGGAATGTGTGTTTTAACAAGGCTCAGGTGATTCACGTGATCATTCTAATTGAGAACCGGGCAGAGTGAACATTTTTTGCTCTTGCTTCCTCAGCATCCATCCCTTTTCTGATAACAGTGCCTGGATATTTCTTGGGCACCCAGCTTCTCCCACTCAATGGGGTTTCAGGGGGCTACCCCACCCTTGCCTTCAGGGATTGACAACTTGATACAGGCCCAGCCCATTAGAGAATTCCATGTTCCCCAACAACCAATGGTGCTTGGTTCAGTTATAGGTATGTATGTGATCCTAGACGAGGCAGAGTCTGCCCTGGGGTTTTGCTGGAAAAATTAGGGAAAAGGCACTCTCTTTCCATAAGCATTGATGTGGATGTGAATGTAGATGTAGGTATAGATGTGGACGTCGATGTAGATATGAATGTGGATGTGGATGTAGGTATAGATGTAGAAGAGCTCCTGGCCAGACTGGGGAAATCTTGAAGGCAAGAACCTTGACAGAGTCACCTTTGACTCTGCAATTGACCCGGAGGAGCCACAGCCTGCATCCCCAGCTCCCAGCATGTGGCACCTTTGGCCATGAACTCTGTGATGATGTAGATGGGCTCCTCCGTGACCACAGCATGCAGCTTCACCAGCTTGTCGTGCTGCAGAGTTTTCATCAGGTTGGCTTCTGCCAGGAACGCGTCCACAGACATGCTCCCGGGCTTCATCGTCTTCACGGCCACCTTGGTGTGCTTGTTGTAGGTGGCTGGAGTGGAACAGGGAGCAGGAAAGGTGGTCAGGACCCACTGCTCTTTCCCCACAGTTCTGGAAGACCTGGGTGCAGACCTGCCTCCTCCAGGACGCCTTCCCTGCCCATCTCAGCCCTTAGAGAGAGAAGGGGAGACATGGGCTTTGGCCTTAGACAGATGTGGGTTGGAGGGCCGGTTTACCACTTCCTAGCTGTGTGCCCTTGGGCAAGTCACTCAACCTCTCTGAACTGTGGTTTCCTCATCTGCAAAGGCTCTTTCAGGGATTAAAGAATAACCTTAAAACATCACTCAGATTATGTCACTCACTCACACACGTACCTTTGTTTTGTCAGACATTCATACACATACTATCTTTGCTTAAAATGGTTTATTTAATCTTAACACTGCTCTCAAAATAAATACCAGTTTCATCATGGTCCATAAGGCCCTGCGTGATCTGGCCTTGCCCACCTTGCCTCATCATCCACCAACACCCCCCTTACCTTTTGTGCACCAATCAGCCTGCGTATCATTCAGTCCCCCAAGCAGCCAACTCCCTTTCCCACCACAGGGACTTTGCACATGCTGTTCCCTCACCTCACCCTACCCCTTCCCTGCTTCATCTTGTTGATCTTGTAAATCTCGTTGTTGCTTGTGTTTCCATGTTTGCCTTGGCTGCCAGGAAGCTCTAATCCAGAGTTGAGGTCTTCCTGTAGTAACAGTCTAAGGCCTCATATAATATTTTTTGTTTTCCAACCTCATCAGCCCAATCTGTCTTACCTTCCTCTCCATACTTTCTCTGCCACATTCTCTTATTCAGTGCCTGGCATACAGTAGGCTCTCAATAAATATAGTTAAAATACGTGGATTTTAACCTTATTTTTTTCTGGCTGAATTGTTTGCATATCTGTAAGTTGTCTTCACTCCCATTTGGAACGTGGTGGAGTATAAACACAATGGGGGGCACCAGGCACTGGGCCAGGCATCGTGTCTAACCCACAGTCCTGCAAAGCAGGCTTTGCTATTTTTAGGTTGTTAGAGGCAGGACAGCAGGGGTGGAATATGACTTTTTGGTGCTCCACAATGCCCTAGCATGGCGCTGGGCACACGGCAGGTGCTCAGAACAGCTTGTTCCTCAGCTGCCAACACTGAACTCACCTGGAAATCTCCAGTTATACTTACCCATTCTTTTTTTTTTTTTTTTTTTTTTTTTTTGCCACGCTGCATGGCATGTGGGATCTTCGTTCCCCAACCAGGGATCGAAACCCGTACCCCCTGCATTGGAAGCACAGAGTCTTAACCACTGGATCACCAGGGAAGTCCTATATTCTTTCCCATTCTTAATTTTCATCATCCTAAGAGATGTTCAGGTTATCTCAACACCCAACTAATACACTGTCCCAGCTCCATGTGAGGGAGCAGATTCCTCATCTAGGACTCCTGCTTCCCAAAACAAAGTGTTTGACCCCAACAGGCCTGGCCTCAAAGGCAAATCAGTGTTTGCATGGCAGGACAATTTGGTATGCTATCAGAGAGGAACTGAAGAATTGCTCCTTTATGGTTATTATTCAAATCTCCCCTCTGCCCTGGGTGGCATTCCCACTTTGCCTCAGGCTGTTCCTGAAAGCAAGGACCTCCCTCTCCCCTCCTTCCCCTCCCCACTCTGGCCCTGGGTCCTTACCCATCCAGACTTCCCCGAACTGCCCAGCTCCAAGTTTCTTTTCCAGCCTGAGGGACTCCCGGGGGATCTCCCAGGCATCTTTCTCCCAAGGCTTCTGGGGTTTGGAGGACATGCAGGGCACTGTCAGCTTCTGGCAGAGTCCGTCGCTCCCCTCTGGAATAGAGCCCCTGATCAGCTGAGGGCAGCCAGCTCCAGGCCAGCCACAGGCTTCCCCTTGGGGGCTGCCCCACCTGGTCCACTGTATCTGGCCCATGTTCCAAAGGGTTGTGCCTATCAGGGACATCCCCAAGAGAACAGAGCATGATGAGATGCCACCTCTGCCCTTCCGCTCAAAAGGCCTTCAGGAGAATCCGAAGCAACTATTTGTCTGGGGAGGAAGCATCATCAGGCCTCAGAGGCTGCAGTGCACACTTGACCCGGATTCCTGGGAGACAGGCCCACCCGCTTGGGCCCCCGGTTGGAAGGCAGCCCCAGTAGAACTTACTCTTTTTTTGTTTGTTTGGCTGTGTCCCACGGCATGTGGGATCTTAGTTTCCTGATCAGGGATTGAACCTGCACCCCCTGTATTAAAAGCGCGGAGTCTTAACCACTGGATCGCCGGGGAACTCCCAGGACTCACTCTTGTAGTGGGCCACCAGCTCCTGCAGGCTGCTGAAGGTGCTCCGGGGGGAGATGTAGAAGCCCCCATTGTCCAGGGTCCGGATCTTATAATGTTTCACTGTGTCCCCGTGCTGGGGGTCGTAGTCTCGCACAGACAAAGAGTAGCTCCCTGCGTGGGCCAGAGAGAAACCCCTCAGGAGTGGATTCTCGGAGGCCTGCCACCTTGTGTCAGCAACCTGACACTCTGTAAGGCCACTACTGGCACCGTCCTGGCACCTGCTCAGTGGAGTACAGGGTAGGAGTGGGCTGTGGGGTCAGGCTTCCTGGGTGCTTGTCAGGCTGCTCCGTGTCCAGCTGTGAGACCTTGGACAAGTGACCATGTCACTTCTCTGGGCCTCAGTTTCCTCACCTGTAAAATGGGATTGGTCATACATCCTCACCCCATCACATTGCCTGACGGTTAAAAGAAGTAATGCTTGTACTCAGGATGTAAACACTCATTAAATGTTGGCTGTCATCATCTTTATTAGTATCTCTTTTTCTTCCTGTCGTCTATCTGTCTGTCTGTCTATCTGTCTATCAATCTATCATCACAAAAGCCAAGATACCACACCAGTTCGGTAGAAACGCTATTTAGAAACAAACAAGCAAAAAGATAAAACAAACACAAAAATATCCAGTTCAATTACTACAGTATAAACATCGAAATGTAAGTGTAAACATTAAATGCTGTGGCAGGCTGAGTAACAGCTCCCAAGATGTCCGTGTTCTAATCCCTGACACCTGTGCATATATTCCCTTACATGGTAAAAGGGGTTTTGCAGATGTGATTCAGTTAAGGATCTGGAGATAGGGAAATCATCCTGGATCATCCAGGTAGGCCCAGTGTAATCACAAGGGTCCTTATAAGAGGAAGTAAGAAGGTCAAAGTAGGATATATGAAGATGGAAAGTTGAGGTTGGAGAGATGTGAGAAAGGGGCTATGAGGCAAGGAATGCTGGTGGCCTCTAGAAGCTGAAAAAGGCAAAGAAACAGATTCTTTTGTGAAGCCTCCAGAAGGGACCAGTCCTGCGGACGCTTTAACTTGAGCCCAGTGAGACTGATTTCAGAATTCCGACCCCCAGAACTGTAACATCATAAATTTATCTCGCTTTAAGCCACTAAGCTTGTGGTAATTTGTTACAACAGCAATAGGAACCTAATACACATGGCATCACATAGACCAGAAACACACACGTTTTTCAGTCCACGGCCACGGTTCTGCCATTTGTGAGCTGACTGTCCTTGGACAAGTTATTAGCCTCTCTGTCTCCCAGTTTTCTCTACCACAGTAGCACCATGTCATAGGATTTGGGGGAGGTTTAAACTGTTGCATGAATAACAGTTGATCATACATGCTAGCCACTAAGAACCTTGTCTGAATAAAAAATGAATGAAAGAAAAAATGAATGAATAGGGATAATATTCATTATAATGAATTATAGTTATATGTATTATGATAAATGATATTATTCACTATAGTGAATGAATAACCCCACAAGGTAGAGGTTCTTTATCACCACAATTTTATAGATGAGGAGACTGAGGTCCAGGGAGGTGAAGTAACTCACCCACAGTCACACAGCTTGTAAGTAGCAGAGCTGGGAGTCAAACCCAGGCAGCAGGCTCTGGGACCCCCACTCTTAGCCAGTCAAGGTGAGGCTGGTTTGGCCGATGCTGGGTGAGGAGAAGCAGAATCCAAGAAGAAGCAGGATAGGATTTGGGGCACTTGCGCTGCAAGTTTTATTAACTCGGCGAACCCGCCTATGCCCCCACCTCTGAGGGCTGTGACAGTGGCCCAAGCTCACCTTCCTGCCCCGTAGGTCTGCCCCTGTGTGCAGGATGGCCCAGCGGGAGAAGAGAAGCCGAGGGCTGTGTACGGCTTTCCCTTTTTGTCCATTTCTTTTCCTCTGGGGGCTGAAAAGGGGCTTGTTGGGTGGGAGGAAATAAAGCCTAAATATTCACTGACCCAAAACACTGATTTTGAGTGGTGTTCTAGCTACATTCAGGCTTCCCCAGTTCAGATACCTAGGGAGTGAGTAGAAGGTCACACAGATGCCTTCGATTGTTGGCCCCAAAACTGTTTGCCCAGGGTACTGTGAGGTCACACTTTACGCAATTTACTGATTTCTTTGAACCAAGCAGTCTTTAGACTAAACACCGTAGTAAAGGTCCACTCTGTGTGTGAAATCCGAAATCACGAGACTCCTACTTACATTCATTCCTTTGGGAAAACTGGCCTCAGTTGATGTCAGTTTGAGTTACGCACTGTTTTGGGGCACTGCTCTTGCCTCCTGTGCGATGACCCGGCACAAAGCCACCCTCACAGCACAGAAATTTCAGGAAGCAGGCCTCCAACATCAAAACTTCCAAATACCTCAAAGGAGCTATTTTAAGCAGGGTCCCAGCGAAGGCCTTCCTTTGGGAGGAGGCCACCCATTTTCGTATGGAGAGAGGGAAGAGTCAGGTCTAGGGACAAGATGTATTTTGATGGATATTTAAAAGAATACAAGCAGGATGTTGTTTTTAGGGGCGGTCACTGCCTCCTACTTCCATTGGCCTAAGCCGGCAGCTCTGGGGGCTGAGAAGGCCCAAACTAGGCTTGAGCAAAGGGCAGGAGGAAGCTTGGAAGCTGCAGTGGGCTGGTGAGTTGTTCAGGCCCCCATCCCCCAGGGCATTCCCCCGTGGGGTAGGGGTGGGTGGGCAGGGACACAGGGCTGGGAGGGCCTGCATCACCTTTGGTGGTCTCGCTGTCCCGCATCATGAAGGAGCCCAGCACATTGCCAGGGGCCAGGAGTTGGCGCTCTGCATCCTTCCGGCTGATGCCCTTGAAGAACCACCTGGAGGGGAGGGGGGTGCAGCGTGTGAACCCGTGGCGGACAATCCTGGCTGGCTCTCAGCGCTCTTGCCCGGCACCAGGATTCTGAGGGCCAGGCTTCCTGCGGGATCAATTTTACTCAGATTCTTTTGGGGAAAACAACCATTCTTTTAATATTTTAACATTAAAACAGACATTTTACCAACCTGGTGAATCCAGTTTGCTGAAGCTGAAACTTACGCAATTTGGGGAGCTTTCTTCAAGAAAAGTAACACAGCGTTACAAATACAAAATGCTCGTGGTCATTCCAGCACCACCCAATGGGAGGGATAAGGTGATGAACAGAAAGACTGGGTGGAAAAATAACAGCAGTCTTAACCAACTGTGGTCAAAAATCTTACTTTTTCAAATTTCACAAGAACATTTGACCATCTTTTCAGGGTCTTGGAGGCCCATGTGAGTGAGGGCTGAGCTTTGTTACTGCCACAGTTCATCCTCCTCTGTGGATATAGAGTGAATATAAAGTCGGCATGCATTTCTAAGATAAAAGATGAGATTTCAAATGATTTTATACTTGGGACCATATCCTTGGACCTTTTCTTCATACTCCCTGGATGTTTGGGATCTTGGGTGGAAAAATTCAAGCAGCAGCAAACAAACCCGTTCCCTGAGGAGTAGTTCATGTGCTGTGATGGAAAAACCTCAGACCAGAGGTCAGCTGGCCTTGACCCTGACACAAATCTGCTTTGTGATTTTGAGCACGTCGCTTTCCCTCTCTGGACTTCTGTTTCCTCTGCTATCAACTGGGGAGACAGACAGCTGACATTCCTCAAGTTCTTGTTACCCACCCAACAACTCTGTGGAATCATTGCCTTTATTATCCCCACTTTATAGATGAGGAAACTGAGGAACAGAGAAAGCAAGTAACTTGCCTGGCGTCATATAGCTAGGAAGTGGTGGGGGCAGGATTCAAAGCCAGGCAGTCTAACTCCAGAGCCCAAGGTCTTAGTCACCATTCTACACCTCCCACTTGCCTTCTTTGCTCTCATTTGGTAAAGTAATTCATGCCATGGTAAAATGTTCAAGCAATGTTAAAGGGTACAGGGTAAGAGCTATCTCCCCGGCAATTCCATCCCTAGGAAGTTATCCCACCGATCTTGCACAGGAGGAAGTGACATATACGCAAGGAGATTCACCGCAGCACAAGACTGGAAGCAGCTTAAGTGACCGCTGGCAGGGGATAGTGGGGCATCTACGTGACAGACACTGCAGCTGTGAAAAGGAGGATACTGTAGGTGCTGCACGGAAGAGCTGAACAAAAGTAGAACAGTGTGCGTTCAATCTGCCACTTGTGTAAAACGGAGGGAGATATATGTATTTTCTTAATCAAGTATAAAGCATTTGGGAGGACGTACAAGAGACTGGTTGCTTCTGGAAGGGAAGTAGCTGGGTGGGGATAGGGTGGGAGGAACACTTTTCACTCTTTATCCTAGGTCCTTCTGCACCATTTGCATTTTAAAACATTTGAAAATATTGCCTATTTCAAGGCAGATGAGGAAATAAGATCTCATCCCACGCTGATTCCAGTGCCCCAGCTGCCCTCCCCAGAGGCAGCCTCTGTGAGCAGTTTCTTGATGCAGACACAAGAACCCAGGAGTGTAAGACTCACATAGGTATTTAGGTCAGTGGTTCTCAAGGTGCGGGAGGCAGACGGCAAACCCGTGAACAACCAAGGAAACAAGATCATTTTTGCTAGTGAGAAGTGCCTAGAAGGGAGTAAAATGGGTTTCCATGAGAGAGAGAGAATCTCAGAGAGGAACCTGCTTGAGACCGGGAAGGCCTCTCTGAGACTGGAAAGATGAGAAGGAGCCAGCCAGGCAAAGAGCCCTAGGAAGAGTGTGCCAGGCAGGGGAGACAGTGAGTGCAAAGGCCCTGAGGCAGGAGCAAGGCTGGCTCTGTTCATGCTTCCTTCTGGAGGGCGGGGAAATAGAATGCTCACTCTTCTGTCTCCAGAGAGTTGACTCGGGCAACGTAGTTGCTTGGGATGTAGCCCTCTTTCCGGGTAGCCAGGGATCGTGCTCTCCACCACTCCCCAGATCTGAGGGACAGGAAGAAGCAAAGGGGTCAGAGGGCAGGAGGACCACTCCTGGTCCTCTTGGGCCCCCCAGCCTTGGCCTGGAACACCCCCAACACCAGGAAGCCGGTAGGGTGAAGGGCAGGGCCACTACTGTCTCCGCTCCCAGCCTTCACCCCGTTAAGGTAAATACCTTTACAACAATCCCCACTGTGCCTCTGAAGGTCCGCCCAGGGCTAGAATCAAGCCCTGTACCTGCATTCAGAGTCCTAGGTTTGTGGCCTCACCCTTATTCCCTGGACTTGTGGCCTTGGCCTTATTAGCCATACGTAAGGTGGGGCCCTATGCCCACGGCAGACTCACAGTGGCTCGTTGGGGCTGAGAGTCAGAAGGAGTGGGCTCAGGAGTCTGACCAAGCATAACCACTCCCATCCTTGGGCCCCAGGACATACTAGACACTACATCCACTGATGGTGAAGATGGTAGGAGATTGGAGGTAGCAAGCTCAGAGACCCGTGGATTTCTGAATGCAAAGTCACCTCAGCAGGGTCTGGTCCATAGGTAAGGCTGCAGCTTAATCATAGGAGTCCAAGGAAGGCTTCCCTGAGAAAGCACTTTCTACTGTCCATCCTTGCCTGGATGTGCCGTTAGCAAGTATGCAAGCCCCTTTACTGTGGCTGTAAGCCAGGTTAACAGCAAACTCTTCTTCCTTTATTACGATCAGGTTCTCATCAGTCATTTACACCCTAGTGTAATATAGTTTATCAGGTCCTTTACTGAAGCACAAGAGAGCAAAACTGAGTATTGGAGATAGGTATGTCTTAGAGGGGAGTGGAATGGGGACTCACTCTTCCAGGACCACCATCTGGTCCCCCTTCTGGAAACTGAGGTCTTCATGGTGAATGGCCTCGTAATCATACAAGGCAACCACAATGATCTCCTCAGAACCTGCTGGGAAGAGAGACATGTGGGATGGTGAGGCTTTATCTGAGCACACCCACAGTCCTGGGTGTTTCCCACCCCAACACCTGGCACCCAGCCCTGGGCCCCTTGATGTGTCTGTCTCGTGATATAAGTAAGCATCTTGCCATGCCAGCTGCGATTCTTGAGTTTAAAGCTAACGGAGTTTTGTTCATGTTATGAAACAACATTATAGAAAAACAATAGCTTGTACTAAGTACTTTGGGGGAAATTTATGGGATTTTCAAGAGTGGTTTTGACTGTTTGGGATTTTTGCCTCAAGCTCTGACTGAGAACCTAACCGAATCCGCTACATAACATGACTCCACTACACGTGCTTGCCAGCTACTTACCCTCTGTGGACCCTGGTGGGGTGCCGTTGCTACTGTCAGGCCACTGTGGGGAAGAAATGGGAGAAGGGGATGAATCCGATAGTGTGTGTGTAGCCATGGAAGGTCTGTGTCAAAAAGGATATCCCAGCCCCGTGAGTCATGGGAGGAGGCCCAGAGAGGACTGGGAAGTGCCCAAGGTAACACAGCACATTAGGGGCACAGCCAGCACAAGGATGCAGGTCTCTTGGGTTGTAGGCTCTGCCTTCAGCCTTGGACATACTGGGGGACGTACTTGCGCCTTCCCCTCGACATACAGTGAGGGGCTTGGTCCAGATCAGTGTTTTCCAGGCTATGTTTGAACAAACCCTAGGTCTACCAACGTGGCCCATGAGTAAAGGCTCCGCTGTGTATGTGAAACAACGTAAGCGTCTGTCCAAAGGGGAACTGGTTCCTACGCTGTGGTGCTCTAAGCGGCCCTCATAAAAGGGAGGCCGCCTCATCCCTGACACAACGAGGCCTCAAAGATATATTGTTGAGTAAACAAAGCTAGTTCTTCAGAACGGTAAATATGATACACTGGTATAAAACACACTCAAACATCCTAAACACTTTCTGTGGACACACACTGTACACATGTGAGTGTAAATTCATGGAAAAAGGTTTGCAAGGTTCCATGCCAAACTGACAACAGCTGATACCTCTGAGGTAGGGTGTGGTATTTCTAGGGAGGGGGGGCATTGGTCAGCAGAGACTGTAGCTTTCACTGAAATCTGTGATTTTTATTTTCAAGGAGAATGAATTTGTGTGTTACACACATAAGTAAACATTAATTTAAAGAAATAGGTTTGGGAAACACTAAGAAGTGTATCCTTTTTGGGGAGAGTCACAAAGCCCATTACAAAGATTTATAAAGGCTCTGAGTCCTACAGGGAAGGAGTGTTTGGCCCAGTGTTTTGCAAACTGATATGACCTGGGAACCCTTTCTCAGTTACTAACTTACTGCTGAACCAGTGCTCTGAAAGAGGGGAACAGTGAATGGCTGATAATAGCGTCCCTTAAACCTGATGCTCAGAGAGAACAGCCAGAAACTGGGGGGAGAAAATCCTCTGCTTCCCGCTGCTGACAAGCCAGAAGGCCTCAGAGAACCTGAGAACCTGGAGCCCTGGCCACAGAAAGGGCCCCGGGACATGCAGGCCAGGTGAGAAGCAGACCTGGGAGTGACTTAGGGTTTAGGATGTCAGCTCAGGATCTCGTGTAACCTCAGGCTGTATTAATAGATGTCAAGTGTCAGAAGGAAGGAGGTGAATATTCCAGGCTTCTCCCATTTCCATGTGTTTGGGGCAGGACTAAGGGGCAGGTATGTGATCCAGGAGTAAGGGTTATGGGGTAATATGCCTCCCTTCAATACAAGGAAGAATCTTCTAAGGGGCACCAGGAGAGAGTGCACCCCTGCCTCTGCAGGCAGCGAGCAGAGGCTGTCCTTCCCGGACAGCCTCAGGTAAGGGCATGGACGAAAGGATCCTATAGGACAGAGAACCTAGCCTTGAGTTTAGGAAGACCCAGCTCTGCTGCTTCCCAGCGGTATGAGCTCAGGGGAGCCATTTAACCTCTTTGAGCCTCAGTCAGCCTGGCTGTAAAGTAAAGTAACTCCAGCCTCAGTTTTTGGTGAGGATTAATGAACAGAAATACCTCACTCCAGTGCCCGGAACATAGTAGGTTTTCAAAGAACAGTAATGATTATTACAACTGTTATTGCTGCTCTTAGTACTGTTGTCCCTTTACTAGTATGATTATTGTAATCACTACTATTGCTACTGCTACGGCTCTTCTGACTATCACAACTACCATTACTAGTGGGGCTACTTCTATGGCAACTACTGCTCCCAGGACCCCCACTATTGCCACCATGACTACTGTTCCTGTCACTAGCATTTGGCTCTGTTACTCTTGTTCCTACCCCTGCACTGCCCAAGTTTCAATCCTTACAACCAGGTGGTCTTCAGCAAGTTATTTAATCTCTCTGTGTCTCATCTGTAAAATGGGTATAATACAAATTGTGGCCTACAAGAGCACTATTGTGAGGATTAAAGGTGTTAATAACAGTAATGCACTTAAGGTAGGGCTTGGTTCATCGTAAGCTCTGTAGAAGTGTAAGAGAAGTAAGCAAATAACCTCTGCTAGTATTACCACTTCTCTCACTTACTCTCTCTGCTTTTGTTCCTACTGCTATTGCTGTTATATTCCCACTAGTATTGTTGTTACTGTTATTGCTACCATTGTTATTACAGTTACTGCCATGATGCTGATACTGTCACCATTCCTGTCATTACTTCAACTGCTGTAGTCACTAACCTGCTCACTCATTACTCGCAGTACTGCTTATGGTACTTCCTAGGTGTGAGGCCGGCCATGCCCCCTGGGACCTGGTCACCCAGGCTGATGGGCCAAGGCCTGGGCAGTGGGACAAGGGGCAGTGACATCCCTGCCCTGGGTGCTTGGTGCAGGTGTATCCTGGGGAGTCAGGGAGCTGCTGGCGACCGGTGAGCTCCATTTCACCCCAGACTCACCCTGCTCGCCCTTGGGAAAACAGGAAGCGGTGAGGGCAGGTTGGGGCAGCCCCCGGGCTGCCGCCGGTCTCCCCTTTCTTCCCCAACTCACCCGCTTGCCCGAGGATGTGGGATCCGGCACATACAAAGCGCTGTGTGGGCTGGTGTTGGGCTCCGTTTTTGAGACCTTGCCTCCATCCCGGAGGAACTTGGACTTCACACACCCCATCCTGTGGTAGAGAGAAGGGAGATGAGCCCCGCTTGCTCTGAGCCCCACACGGGGGAGTCTTTGATGCTGGGCTCTAGACCCCGTGTTCCCAGGCTGGCACCCTGTCACCTTCCCTGTCTCCCCTCCCCCTCTCTGCCCCCCTCACCCCACCCTGGCCACGTGGAGCTCACTCTGCCCTTGTCATCTCTGGGCTTCCCCACACCACGTCTGGCCCGCACCCACACAGAGCTGACAAGCTGTCGTAGTCATGCTAACAAGGACCCCTGCGATGGGGAGTTTATTCAGAGAATAAATCGTGATGATCATTGAAATTCAACAGGCGGAGCCTCGGAGCAGAGTCGGGGTGGGGGGTGGTGGTGTGGGAGCTGCCAGCTCTGGGGTCAGAAAGCCTGAGCTGACGCTTGACCCCTCCCTCCCCAACTAGCAGCTCACTTACCATGCCCCTGCTCCCCAGTCTCAGTTCCTCAGCAGCAAAGTGGGGATAATAATACGACCTCCTCGCCGGGCGTTGGGAGGACGAGAAAGCACGTGGGTGGGGAAATACTCAATACAGAGTCAGGCTCAGAGCAAATGGTGAAGTAAAACTATACTCTCATTATATAACGTCAACAGTTTATATAAACTGATAAGGATCAGGTCACATAATGTGGCTCAAACAATCAAGGTCATCACATTCCTCATATCATTTTCTAGTTGCCTTCTAACAGCTTCCTTCCTTCTTCCCTCCCTCCCCCGACCCCTTTTTCTTTTTTCTTCCTTCCCTTCTTTCTCTCATGGATTTATTTGGTCATTCAACCATTCATTTACTCAGCAAACATTTACTGAGCACTCTTCTAAACCATGATTAAGACAAGCAAGTTCATGCCCTTACGGAGCTCACTCTGGAGGTGGATGGGAGACACAGACGATAAACAGGTAACAAATAAATAACAAGATAAATTCAGTTAGTGAAAAGTGTGAGGATGATAAAAGAGGATGTGATCAGGAACAGCTATGCGGGGCCTCTTTACACAGGGCAGTTGGGGAAGGCCTCTCTCAGGAGGTGATATTGGACCTGGGGCCTGACTGACACAAAGGAGCCAGTTACGTAACACTCTGAGGGAACAGTGTTCCAGGCAGAGGGAACAGCAAGTGCAAAGGAATGTGACTGAAGAGAATCAGGCACTGAAAGGAGGCCAGTGTGACTGGAGATCACAGGCAGCAGAGAGAGGATAGCATGTGACAAGGATGCCCCATGTTGTGAGGAGTTTGGATTTGATTCTAAGGATGATGGGAAACCATGGCAAGTTTCAAGCAGAAGGATGACGGGGTTCAGTGTGTACTTTAAATAATCCCACTGGCTGCCCGGTGGAGTATGGACTTTAGTGAGCAGGGCAGGGAGCCCTGTCCACTGCAGGAGTCCAGGCTTGAGATGCTGGTGGCCTGGCCCGGGGTGGTGGCTATTGAGGAGGGGGTAAGAAGTGGACAGATTCGGGGGACATTTTGGAGGTAGAGCTGACAGACTTTGCTGGTGGATTAATCAAATTTAAAGACACTTAAAGAAAACACTTTTACCTGATCAGAGTCAAAACTTAATTGTTAAAGTGACAGAAACTTTTTCTTTCTTTTCTCAAAATGTGCACATGTATTTGCTGAGAAGATAGGCTGTGAGCAGCCACATAAGGAAGTAACTGTCTTCCTCATCTCTACACAATCACAATTTTCTTCTAAAGCAGTTAGAACTCAGTTATACTTATCTTGTTAAAATAAACATGTGTTTGTGGCTTAAGAAATAACCCCAAATTCCTAGGTTAACGAGAGGTTTTTTTTTTTTTAAGATTCTTTTTATTTACAAGGATGTTTTCTGTCTGTCCTGGTGGGAACTGGGAACAGTTTACCACATCAAGACTTGAGCGGTTTTTGCTTCATTCGCCTTTTGCGAATAAAGTAAGGAACTAATCCAGACTCCTGGAGTGCTAGATCATTATTTTGAAAAATTATTGCAATGAATCAGTGCTTTATAATGTACTTGTATGCATTGAAAACAAAAACCAATACCTCTCTGACTTGTGAAAAATATGGTTTACAATTGTGGGAAATAAAACAGCATATTGTGTGGTTCTGTATGACATAAAATTATATTACATTTCATATATTTTGATTAACTTAAGGGTGTTCTGGGAAGAGCATAGCTGTGTGAGGTACAGCCGCTCCCTCCACCTCTCTGAGTACCTATTTGGTATGCCTTACATCATCAAGTTACATATTCAGCGTGGCCACAGGGTCTTGAGGGATGGGTCTCCCCAGGCATGAACATGCATGATCCATGGATGGTGGAGTTCTACCTCCCGGGGTGGCTGCAATCACAGATGAGTTGAGAAGCGTAAAGGTGTCTGCCACACAATAACCGCGACAGAAATGTTAACCATAACCATTTCCGTTCCCTAGCAGATGTGGCACTGCCCTGGAGCATAAAGCAAGCACTGTTTGCAAGTCCTTTGGCCTGCAAGTGTAGAGATACCACAATACTCTAGAAGTTAACTTTTTAAAATAGGGAATTCCCGTTAGTTCAATTTTTGCACAATAAAGTTTTTTTTTTTTTCAGTGATGAACTGGCAGGAGTCAAATTTGCATAAAATGTGATTTCCCCCTAAGCCAAGAGAACCATTCTACTGCCTGGTCTGGAGTGGCCTCAGAAATGCTTATTTTCATGACCACTAGACCTAGCAATGTAACGTGAGCCACATATATAATTAAAAATTTTCTACAGCCATATTTTTTCAAGGTAAAAAGAAACAAGGGAATTAATTTTAAGATGTATTTATTTTTCCCAATATGTCAAAATTATTAACATGTAATCAATATAAAATTATCATTGAGATGCTTTATATATATATATTTTTTTCATGCCGAGTCTTCACATCCCAGGGTGTGTTTTACACATACAGCACATCTCAGCTAGGGCTTGCGGTGTTTCACGTGCTCAAGACCTGTCTGTGGCTCAAGCTACTATACTCAGCAGTGCAGACACAGAAAGTTTCCATCTCTGCAGCACAGCAGAGGCTGGTCTTGTTCATGTCTGTGTCCCTCAGCACTTAGCTCAGTGCCTCCCTGGCACACGGTAGGAGCATAATGCACCGTTAGTGAGTAAATACATGCCCAGAGCCCACACTTTATGTGGTCAGGCCAAAGTAAAAGCATCAGGACCTGGTTCCTGCTCCAGTTGGGATGGGAAGACTGGACATACAGAACTGCCTTCCCAAGAAGCTGTTAGGGATTGGCAAGGACAGTCAGAGCCATGCAAAGACTGCTAAAATACTTACTGAGTGAGAAAAGCAAACTGCAGAACATATACAATATCAAGCCATTTTGTAAAACGAATATATATCCGGGTTCTGCCACTAACATGTGTATGTTAGTTTGTTCATAGGAAAAACAACCTGTTCATAATAATTGAGCAGCAGGATAATGAGTTGGGTTTTGAAGAATGGGAAGGATTTCAATAAAGATTGGGGGAAACTCAAGAATGTTCCAAAGAAGCACTGACTTTCAAAAAGGATTTGAGGGAGCTTATAATATTAAACCATATACAGAGCACTTCAAGACTCAAAAAGGGTTATGCTACACCATTTAGAAAGGAAAGATTATTGAACCAGAAGCCTAGGGTGCTACTGGTACTGCCATTGAGTACTAGATTTATCTCTGAGTTTCCTAGCAGCCAAGATAAAAATGGCAATTTGTACATTGTTAACATAAAATCCCAGGAAGCATGGCAATTTACTGAGAGAAACAAATATTTTTTGAGCACTAAATTCAAAAGAGAATTTATTATGTGGATCATCCTATAAAGGTCACTGGAGAACACAATGAACACCGATTGGCAGCAAAGTCTGCTATATGTTGACAATAGTCCCCAAATACATGATGCTGATGTTTGGGTGGGTTTGGAAACCATGGGATGGGGGTGGGGAGAGGGCGAGGGAAGAGGTTTATATATCCCAGGGCTTCTCTGCAGAGTGGGGGCTGCACAGTTGCTTGAACTAAGTTAGAAATGTAAGAGTGCCTGGCTACTCAGAGTGTGGCCAGCATGAAGACCAGCAGCATCTTCGTACGGGAGGCGTTAGAAATGCAATCTCAGGCCCCACCTCCCAAAGCGGAATGTGTGTTTTAACAAGGCTCAGGTGATTCACGTGATCATTCTAATTGAGAACCGGGCAGAGTGAACATTTTTTGCTCTTGCTTCCTCAGCATCCATCCCTTTTCTGATAACAGTGCCTGGATATTTCTTGGGCACCCAGCTTCTCCCACTCAATGGGGTTTCAGGGGGCTACCCCACCCTTGCCTTCAGGGATTGACAACTTGATACAGGCCCAGCCCATTAGAGAATTCCATGTTCCCCGACAACCAATGGTGCTTGGTTCAGTTATAGGTATGTATGTGATCCTAGACGAGGCAGAGTCTGCCCTGGGGTTTTGCTGGAAAAATTAGGGAAAAGGCACTCTCTTTCCATAAGCATTGATGTGGATGTGAATGTAGATGTAGGTATAGATGTGGACGTCGATGTAGATATGAATGTGGATGTGGATGTAGGTATAGATGTAGATGTAGATATGAATGTGGATGTGGATGTAGGTATAGATGTGGACGTTGATGTAGATATGAATGTGGATGTGGATGTAGGTATAGATGTGGACGTCGATGCAGATATGAATGTGGATGTGGATGTAGGTATAGATGTGGGTGTAGATGTAGATGTGGATGTGAATGTGGATGTAGGTATAGATGTAGATGTAGGTATAGATGGAGATGCGGATGTGGATGTAGATGTAGGTATAGATGTGGATGTAGCTATAGATGTAGATGTAGATGTAGATGTAGATGTGGATGCAGGTATAGATGTGGGTATAGATGTAGATAGGGATGTAGAAAACTGGAGCTCTTGGGAGCCGTCCTGACATCATGAAGGGAGGGACTGCCTTTGAGTGAAGCCATCACAAAGGACAGCAGAGCTGAACAATGGAGACAATGTGATTCCTGAAGACATGTCTGAACACCTGGATCCAGCTATGCCTAAAACTTTCCAGCCTCAGAATTTTTCTAATTCACGAGCAAGTAAATTCTCAATTTTGCCTAAGCCAGTTTGAGTTGGATTTCTGCAACTTGTACCCAAAGAGTCCTCACTGATTCTTGCATATCCCTGGGCCACACTCTGGATTGAATGAACTAGAGTTTCTGGGGATGTAGGCCTGGAATCTGCATTTCTAACAATTCTTTAGGAGATTCTTATCACACTAAAATTTAAGACCAACCAATGTAGTGGAATGAAGGCCAAACTTGGGGTCTGAATACTTGGGTTTGGATCCCAGTTCTGCCACTGACTGGCTGTGTAACCTTGAGTAAGTCACTTCCCCTCTCTGAGCCTCATTTTCTTCCCTGTATAATAGAAGGCACTTGCTTCTCAAGCTTGTGGGACAGAGATGTGAAAGCCTTTTTAAAATTTCTGAAAACACATGTTTCTTGTCTAACCTGATTCGAAACCAGGCTCTGAGGGCAGAAGTGGCCTGCCTGGCCCCAGACTAACTTAGAACAGCTGATCCCTGACAAAGACACTTGCTCAGGTCACTGCTGAACTCCTGGGACCTGAAACCAGCTCCTCGTCCCCTCAGCTTCTGCAGGTGCTGCATGGAAGGGAAATGAGAAAGTCCAGCTTGCTTGGCCTGGCTGCTTCCCATGGTCACCGTGCTGGCTATGGAGGCCTCAGAGACGCCTCCTGAACTCTCAGAGCCAAGCCCAGGTCCTGCCTGTGCATCCTGTGGATCGGGCAGGAGATGGTTTTCTAGGAGCTTTTAGGCTCAAGCAGAGGCTTGTGAAGGCTGGGGGAGAGAAGCCCTGGAGTTCGGTCCCACCTCTGCCACAGACTCACTGTGTGACCTCAGGCAAGTCCCAGCCTCTCTCTGGGCCTCAGTTTCCCCAAATATGAAGTGAGATGTTGGATGATAAGCTCTCTGAAGGGAACAGCTATAGTTCTTTCCTGAGTAGCATCTACTCCTCCTTCTTTTGACAACAGCTCCCCAGTTTTCTTTGGGAACCACCCTTCCCCCATTCTCAACCCATGGATTGTGGTAAAGCTGACTTCAACCTCTGGCTGTAGGGGTGGGTCTGTGACCAAGTCTGGCCAATCAGTAATAGAAGTAGAGATGGGCATGTGACTCAATCCTGGCCCGTGAGAATCATCCGTTTGGCTGGAAAAGAGGCTTGCAGTTGCAAAGCAGAGCCAAGAAATGAAGAAATACAGATTCTCCAGCCCTACCTGAAGTTGATGTGCTCGTGGACTTTCCAATAACCCCCTTCTTCTGTTTGAGCCAGTTTGAGTTAAATTTCTGCTCCCTTAAACCTCAGAGGGTCCTGCCCAGTGCAAAGGAAATTCTTACAAGGGATTGCAATTCATACTCAAGTGTTAATGGCTTACGGGAAAGACTGCCTTGATAGGAAGTTTGATGGAAGAAAGTAAAGAGAGTACTAGACCCATTAGAGTAGGTGAGGGTGTGTGAAGTATGGACCCCATGAAGATGACGGCACGGAAGCCATGCTTAGAAAGGGCTTCCGTATATATTTGTGGAATGAATATATTGTGTTCAACCTTCTCTAGGCCTGACCATACTTGGCTGAAGTCAGCAGGACCAGAATTATGAACCCACCTGTCAGATGGGGAAATGGAGGCCCACGGCAGAGAGCATCCCCAGGTGATCAGTGGCAAGTAGAACAAGAACTCAGCTCTCCTGCCTCTCATACTTCACTGGGTCAGCCTCAGAAGCTGCAGTGGGGAAAGGGGAGGGGGGATGAGTTAACACAAACAGGAAGCTTAGGAAGGCAGACCGCCAGAGGCCCAGGGCTCAAGACTGTCCAGTTAGAGGAAACTTCCCTTCTCTGAATAGCTCAGCCATGGGGGTGGGGGAGAAAGCATTTCACTATGAGGGACCAAGTCCCTGAAGAGTTTTCAGGAGTGCAGAGCCCTACAGCTCCCTCTTCTCGAGTTCCCTGACTGTCTTCTGAATGAACCAGCCAAACCTTCAAGTGACTGTTATCCATAATGGACATTTAGGGGTCACCCCTGTCTCCCCATCTCTTCCCTTTTCTGACCCTCAGCTTCTTTCTGATCAAGAGCTCAAAACTTTGACTTCGCAAACAGGAAGGGACTGGAGAGACCTTTGTTTTACAGATGGGAGCAGCAGCCCCAGAGAGGGCGGGTGTCATGACCTGGTTTACACAAAAGCAAGTGACAGAGCAACACACTGAAGAGGAACTCGGGCCTTTGGTCATTTGCCTCACTTGGCCAGAGGGTTGGCTCTGAGATGCATGTGTTCCAACCACTTGTTCCAAACATGTAGTAAGTTTTTAGCATGTTCAATGTTACCTCTGGGTCACCTGGTCAACTCCAGAACTCAAGGGCACTTGCGAACCTCCTTAGAATAATACTATCTTTAAGGTAGGCAGGGGGCAGGGAAGTTTGGAAAACATAGGATGGGATTTGAAGCCAGAAAGAGCTGGGTTTGAATCCCCATTCTGCCTCTTACAGAAGTGAGCCTTTTAAAAATATAAGTCAAGTCATGTCACTCCTCTGCTCAGAACCTCCTGGGGCTGCCACCTCACTTGGAGTAAAAGCCCAACTCCCCTCTATGGCTGGCAAGGCTCCATGACCTGGAATCCCCTCAACCTCACAGTCCTGTCTCCTCCAGCCCTCCCTTGATTTTTCCATTTCAGCCACACTAGCCTCTTGCTACTCTTCAACTCACCAACCATGTGTCCACCTCAGGACCATTGCACATGCTGCTTTCTGGAATGTTCGTCACCCAGAAAGCCTCTTTCTCTTCATGCAGATCTCTTTGCAGATCTCACTTTCTCAGAGGGGTCTTCCCTCATCACCCTGGCTAAGGTAGGAACTCGGCCCCCAACTCCCATCACTTTCTGGCCCCTTCCCAGCTCTTTTCTTCATGGCTTTACCCACCACCTAACGTGGCAATTCTACTGAGAGCAGAATTGACAAATGGCCCCAGCTGCTGTGCTTTGAAGACCATCACTGTTGCCATGGGCTGCTCCCAGCCAGGGACTGAGTGTGGCGGGGATACTGAGGCAGGCCCGTGCCAGGGGGACCTCTGATAGGAGACTTTGGCTAAGGGCTCTTTGACAGCCTTGCCAACCTTCCTTAGAACTGCCCTGCAGTCTAAGACACTTCCACCTTCCCTTCCTTGCTTGTTCTCTTCCTTCCTCCCTCCTTCCTTCATTTGGAGTCAGACGTGCCTGCTATCTGATGGCTCTCCTAGCCTCTCCTGGCTTCTCCCACAGGCATTCCCTCTAATCAATTTCTTACACATTTAATCTCTCTGAGAGTCTGCTTCTCAAAGGACCTGAACTAACACACCTATTGTTACCTGTGGATGTATCATCTGTCCTCCCATAGAAAGTAAGATACATGAGGGTAATGATTGTTTGGTACATGGCTATATACTAGTGTGCAAAACTAGGACACAGTAGGTGCTCAATAAATTCTTGACTAATTGAACAAAGTGCCCTTTAGCTGCCAGGGTGCCCTAGATTTCCCCATTTAAACAATAGTTACAAATGTGTGTTTAAACTGAGAAGGACTCTCCATGTTTGTTTATCTCTGCTTGGAGAGGAACAAAGTCTTTCCTTGATTGAAGCTGAGTGGAGGTGGCCCCCTTCAGAAAGGACATGGTGGCCAGTTCACCCCAGGGACAACTTTTCACTTCAACCTCCCAACGTGCTCCGAGGTCAGCTGCCCCCAAATCTGTCCTCAGTAAATGGAAACTTCAAAGCCAAAAAAACACATCCTCTGACCCTTTTACACTTATTCTTTTATAGTTGACAGAGCCTATTCTTTTCTGTTTTGGTGGGTATGTGTTTTTGCTTTTAAAATTACCTTTCATCACCTAGTAAAACAATACACCGTCCTTGTTAAAAATGAAAACAAGGACTTCCCTGGTGGTCCAGTGGTTAAGACTTCACACTTCCACTGCAGGGGACCCGGGTTTGATCCCTGGTCGGGGAACTGAGATCCTGCATGCCTTCGCGGGGTGGCCAAAAAATTTTTAAAAAGAAAAATCGAAAACAATACAGCAAAATCGAAGTCACCCTTGGAGTAAGGCTTGTAAGGTACCCTTTACAGGCTCTCCACGGCCACCCCTCCCCCCTCCAGGTAGCCTCTGCATGTGCGTTTGCATACATGTGCTATATCAGAGAAGATGCTGTCGGCGCTCTGCCCCATAGCTCAGCGCTTCACCATTTCCGAACACTCGCTGGACGTCCAACTGCTAGCACTTGCATCTCTTTGCCTAAGAGATTTCTCTGTGGCCCTTGGTGCCTGCTCTGCCCTTGAGCTTGGCAAGTGGAAGTGCTAGAGAATCACCATCCCTCAGGAGCAGCCCTCGACCAGTGGCTGACAGGAGCAGGCAGATAAATACCCCAGTTCCTTTGCTTCTCAAGTGCGGTCATCAGCTCCCAGTGGAAATGAGCTCCAGGTGCCCACAGCGGGCCTGGCTTGATAACACACCTTGATTGGCTGCCTTCTCTCCTTGTTTTGCTTCCCCACTCTCCTACCAGGGTTTTCTGGGATCTGCTCCCAAATAAACTAAATAGTAAATGCATTTGAAATCTTTTCTATGGTCTGCTTCTGGGGCAACTCAATCTGAGACATATATACCTATAGAAAATATGGAGTATCTTTTTTTGTGCGTGTTAACATCAAAGGAATACTGTTCTGCACGCATCATGAGGCAGTATTCTTATTCCCATTTTTTAGATGAGGAAATTGAGACTCAGAGAGTGAAGGAGTTTGCCTGATACATCACGACTTGTACGAGGCAATGTCAGCACTCAAACTCAGGTCTCCTGTGCTCTGTCTACTGTGCTTCATTGCTCTGGCAGAGCAACCTATTCTCTTGGTTGCACCTAAGTCTCCTGGACCAAAGGATTTCATGGTGATGGTGGGAGCTCGGGCAGGTGTCATAGGGCAGGATTAGGAATGCAAGCCCCAGTGCAGTGCCATCCAGAGGGTGCAGCATGTGTGGCCACAGCCACTGCCAAGAACAGGGCACGTTTTACATTCAAGCAAGGGTTTCTTCTGTATCATTACCCATGCCTCTGAAAGTACACTAAAACTCCCAGTCCTGGGGTGGAGGAAACCAGAGAAATGGGATGGGGATCAAAATGCTGTGAGGGGGGACTTCCCTGGCGGTCCAGTGGTTAAGACTTTGCCTTCCAATGCAGGGAGTGCGGGTTCGATCCCTGGTTGGGGAGCTAAGATCCCACATGCCTCGTGGCGAAAAAACGGAAACATGAAAACAGAAGCAAAGATTGTAACAAACTCAATAAAGACTTAACAAAAATGTGCTGTGAGGGTTTGCTTAGAAAGACAGAGGCTAAGAGAGATTGTACTACTAACTTTGTGTGTAACTTTGGGAAAGTTACTTACCCTCTCTGGGCCTGACATTTCTTTTCTATTTAAAGGGAGGCCTTGTCATGATTGGAGGGCTGGGCTTGAAAACTCAAGTGGCTATAGGGGCCCACAGGGCCATCCACATGGGGAAGGTGGTCTGGGCAAGGGTGCTGCAAACCGGACAGCTCGGGGGCAGTCTACAGGGCAGCCCCATTCAGCATCACCAATGCTACCATGAGTCAATAGCAGAGGAGCACAGGAGATTGGTCTAGAACCTTGGGGTTCTAGTCCCAGGACTGTCAGCTCCTCCAGTTTTTCAAGAGAAGACAGAAATCCAGGTTTATGTGATCTCTCTTGACTTTAAATGTTAGCAACTAATTTAAAAAGAATCACTTTGTGGGGTCAATTGAAATACACCTACTTGCTGAAATACCTCCTAGGCAAGGGAGGGAGGGACTGTTCAACGTCCCTCAATTCCGTATTTTTGAGAGGCCCTACTATGTGCCAGGTGTTAGAGATACAGTAGTTTAGGAGACAGACATGTCTGTGCCCTCATGGGACTTAACTTCTAAAATAGTTTAAAGTCCAAGCCCTGACCAGTCCG